ACTTCACCCTTTTCATATTGGTGCTAATCAAAGAAATGCAAACTGATAACTAATGTAAGACAGAGAAAATGAGATAAAAAATTAAAAAGAATGATATTGAAGTTTAAGCGTGTTCCAAAAATCCATCAGGATCATTACTTGGTGTAATTGGATACGAGTTTTAATCTAAGAACAGACTCAAAGTTTGTCTGTCTTCCATCTTCCTCTCTTAGCAGCTGATGTAAGCTAGACATACACGGAGTAATGCACTAAAAATAGAGGGGGGGGGGGGGGGAATAATTTTGGCCATTTAACTCTTTACCTCAAGAACAAGAAAGTTAGGGCCCATCACTTGTATATTATTGAAGGAAGGATGCTGACTTTTACAATCTTTTAGGAATTTTTATTCCTCCAACTAGGGTCACATATGATTTTTTCATGCACATGGATATTCCAATTCAAATGCAAGTTAGTGATTTTCGATATAGAATTATAAATATGAATAAGGATTCTGATCCTATTTGTATCTTAATTTGGGATACTTGGAAAAGTAAAGCTTTGTGGTTTTCTGTGTAACTGAATGTAGAAAATGATTGTATTTGGGGTTTTTGGCACACATATGAGTTGGGTTGCTTGTTATCTTATGTATATTATGCCTTTATATTTAACATTGAACTATAATCTGATGTATGTAACAAAGGACATGCATGGAAATTTGTTTTTTATCGTGTTTAATTATGTTTTCTTCAGCAAATTTCGAGTATTTTAACTATGAAAATCCATGCTAGTGGAAAGATTGTAGGATAACATTTGGGATATCAGTTCAGTCAACGTATAAAGAAAGCATGAACTCTTCAAAAACAAGCAAACCTAATTACAAAAGAAGAAGAAAAAAATAAAAAATAAAAAAAACATTTGATTAATTAAGTATCTACTTTAGGAAAATTTTGCCTTTGTTGGTGGGATAAAACTGAGTTTTAAAAATTAATTTTGTCACGCACAAGAGAGCAACATTTGTTACACACATGTCAAACATATACAACAAACAGAGCAACAACAATCTTGATTGCAGAATAGAAATTATATATATATGATTGCATAATAGAAATTATAAGAGGAGAATATATATAAACATAACCTAGATGAAAATCAGACATCCAATTGGAAAAAAAAAAATTATAACACTAAATCAGGACCATAATCATCTAAAAAATAAACGTGTGTGTGTTAAGAGAGAGAGAGTACTTACCATATTACTAGAACAACAATAAATGAATTGCAGAAGTGGAGAAGTGCTTTGCTGGGCTACAGAGAGGGCACACCAATGACGGTTGGACGTGGAAAAGTGCTTCGCTGTTACAGAGGGGGAAAGAGAGAGGGCTTGAATGAGGGTTAGGGCTCAACGGCTACGCTTCAATCCTGGTCTTGCATCGCTGGATTTGTGATGCACGACTGAGTGTATTTTAGGGCAACAATGCTTTAGAGTTGGGTGACTAAATTAAACGGGGGCAATAAGGTAAATGTTCTGGAATAGTGAGAAGGGCATTTTAGGCACCACAAGTTTTAAACAGTAATAATTTATGTGCCATGTTATCAATTTAGTCAACCACATTTTTAAGAAATATGGGACTTTGACTCAGCCTCTTAGTAAATATGGAACCCTAACCCCATTTATATGTAATAATTCCTAAACATATCATACCACATTAGGCAATTTGTAGATTACTTTTTTATTCTTTATTGGTTAGAAATGTACGTGATCTACCACTAGGCATATTTTAAATTTTGGGTTATGCTATGGTTGTTAGCACCTTAACCCAAACTCAATTCTAATTACGTTCCAGTTCATAGACATGCCTCTGATTTAGAGCAACAACAATCTTCAGTACGAACGCCAATAAATGAATGCTGGTAATTGCCACTTGAAATCAAGGTTCCACTTGAAACCAAGGTCCATGTTCATCTTGATTATCAATTTTCTAATTACTCAAAGTCTTAGCCCCTAAATCTTTGATTTTCATCAACCTCCTTCTCTCTCTCTCTAAATCCTGATTAAGTCAATTTGTACAGCTGGTCTGTTAGCCTGCTTGTTTTTTTATTACCCTTTTATTCGGAGACAGGATTTCATCTTAGGGCCAAAGTTGAAGATACAAGAAATTCCTTCCCCCTTTCTCTCTCTAGAATTCTTGCATTTCGACCAAAAAATATCTCCCTTTTCTTTCCATTACTTCTCCTATTTATAGATATTTACAAATGTTGATGGACTGCTGGATCTAGGCCCGTTCCTCCATGAGTCCTGGTCATCTTTGATGGGCTTATTCGCGTTCAGCCCATATGGCAGTGTCTTTCTATGGGCCTGACCCATCTGTACGGACCGGATGTCGCGTTTGCAAGTCATATCTGGCCCATGTCATCTCGGGCCTCCTCAACTGCCCCCATAATTACCCCTTGTTTAATAAGGGGGTAATTATTGAAGGCGTCTCATCATGACGTTGACGGCTCGAGAAACCCACATGGGGGAACGGACGGTCAGATCCAGAATCAATGTTCCGGGGCTCGATGAATTTCTCGCCTTCCTGACGCTTCGGCCCTCGGGTCCCCCTCGCCTTTATAAGGCTCTAGAATACCACTTCATGCCTTTTTACCGTCTCCATCATCAGTCAAATCTCTCTCTTTTTAGAACAGTGCTAAGCTTTTTCCGGTGAAATCCTTCAAGAGTCATTCTTCCAGCAGTCTTGCAGTGCTCTTTGTTGCTTTCTACCTCAGAGGTTAGTTTTGTTCCTTTTTATTTTCGGCAGGCTTCTTTTTACCCTTTTAGATCCTTCAAACACTTCCACCATGGTTGTAGATCTAGATGTTCTTTGTATGAGACTTAGGCTTCCTGACAACATCCAAGTTAGGGTTTGCCCTAAGGATGTTAATATTATGACCGGTGCCGGCCTCCTTCCCGGCGAAGTTTTATTTTCAAACCTTCAACTGAATGTCGTTAGGTTCCCTCTGCACCCCTTCTTTAATTATGTCTTCAATAGACTGGGGATATCCCCCCTGCAGGTAAACCCCAATTTCTTTAGAATCATATCCGTTGTGCTACTGTTGATTCGTGACAGAAGTCTGGACCTTGACCTCATAGATCTTCTTCTGTGTTATAAGGTCAGTAAGATCCGAACTAACGAGCCCTTCTACCACCTCTACCCGATCGACAAGATGTCCATATGTACGGACACAATCAAATTTGAAAAGGGTTGGAGGGATAACATCGTGGGCATTAGTGGGGCTTGGTCTTCGCCGACTACAGAGGATTACCCAATCCCGAGCGCCTTTGGCGTCTGTTCTGTGTCCTCATATAAGAAATTCAAATCTCACAAAAACGATTGTCCCTGCGAAACATGTGTTCCTCGCTTTTGTACTTTCTTATGCCGCTCCTTAGGAATACTTTGTGATGACTTGAGCTACAGTGTTTGCAGGGATAGGAGTAATTACTTGAAGAAATACGTTCTAAACGATATTCCTTCCTGCTCAGATCTCCTCACTTCAGACAACCTTCTAGCGCTCTCATCCCTCGGCTATACCATGAGTAGGCTTCAGATTCCATCCTTTGGCAGGAAGAAAAATACTCCCCCAACCACTTCTGCTGCTGGGGCAACCTCCTCTCCTGCATCAGCCTCTTCCTCAGCCACCATCTCTGACACCATCTGAGCACGGTGGCTATTGATTCTGTTGTCAGCACCCCTGCTACCAACCCGAGCGCGTCTCCACAAATCACTACAGCCCCTGCTGCTGCTGGGGGCGCTCGGGATAAAGAACGAGGCAAAAGGCCTCATCCTGACGGTGGAGTCGACCCTGAGGAGGAACCTCTTATAAGGAGGACCCGGGTCTCTGGGCCGGGTGCTCTCTTGCATCGCCCAGTCAGAGCTCCTGCCCCCTCCGGGCCTGTTGCAGCTGGTGCCTCTGCTTCTGCTTCAAGCTCCCCTTCTCTTCCCACTTTACCACCATGGGCTCCTCGGTACACCTGAACGGATGGGACGTTCGTGAAGCTGAACGAGACCATGCTAAAGGATGGCCAGACCACCATGGCGTATTATAGGAGCATGTGGACTCCGAAAGACCTTGAGGCGGCGAAAGGTCTATCCCAGAAGGATGTGTTCAGCCGCTTTCCCCAATCTACCATGGAGGTGACTTTTATTTTCCAACTCATGAATCCTCTCATATTATTTGGTCTTGCCTTCGTCCGACCAGACTATCGATTTAACCATTATTAATGTATATCTATACAGACTTTGTTCGGAATGATGGCTATGCAGAAGCAGGTTGAAATGGGGAACGCCAGGGCCCGTAAGTTTTCTGATAGCCTGGAGGTGGCCAATAAGGAAAACGACCTTCTCGCCAGCAAGAATACCGAGGTATTGGCTCGGCTTGAAAAAACCAAACAAGAAAGAGATGTCTTGAAGAAGGAAAACAACTCTCTTCAGGATGAGAAGGATGCCCTCCAGCTTGAAAAGAGTGTCTGGCAGACTGAGCGTGATTCAATCAGAGACGAAAAGGCAGAGCTCCAGCGCCTTCTGGCTGATGAACAGTCTGCTCGGATGGCTTTTGAGAAGAGAGCTCTGGACGAGCGTACTGCTCTGATTGATACCATCAGCAGAGTGAACGGTGGGATGCTAGCTCTTCATGCTCGGTTCTCAAGGGTCGGCGCTCTTAGGTATACTCAAGGATTCCGAGAAGGTTTCTCCGACCGAGTTCCGGATGAGGGACAGACCAGCTCAACTCCAGATGAGGTCGATAAGGATTTAGGGATTGACCCTCTGGGGGTCTATGTTAACCCAGAACCCACCAAAGCGGAGCACATATTTGATGAATGCCAGGACATTGCTTCCTCTAGGATCACTACAGCTCCTCCTACTGCTCTGCCTCTAACCGCTCCTCAATCGTCAACTGTGGTATCTCCCATAGCCACTGCTGACGTTGGCCCCCAGTAGAATGACTCTGTTATTCATCTTGATTCCCCACCTCGTGAGGGTGAGATGGCTGATGGGATTGAGGAGGCGGACCGGCACAACCAGGAGGCTGTCGGTACTAGGGCAGCTAGCTAGGACTCCTCCGGACTCTTCGATTCCATACTTTTTTGTAACAATGTGACTTGAATACTTCATTTTTTTTGTAAATCCAATGCTTATCATGAATGAGATGACAGAACTCTTTTTCTCTTTTTCCTTTGTGTTACGCTCTGTTCAAACCCATTTTCAATATATATATACCTTTTCTCTTTTTTTTTTTTTTTTATATTAACTTTGTCGCGTGCTTGTTTATGGCAAGTGCTTGGCGTTCGGCTTGTGGTGCCAGCTGCCACTTATCTTGCTTAAGTGCCTGGCGCTCGGCTAGAATGCCACTTGCCACTTGGCTTTTCATTTTTTAGCAAGTGCCTGGCGTTCGGCTTATGGTGCCAGCTGCCACTTATCTTGCTTAAGTGCCTGGCGCTCGGCTAGAATGCCACTTGCCACTTGGCTTTTCATTTTTTAGCAAGTGCCTGGTGTTCGGCTTATGGTGCCAGCTGCCACTTATCTTGCTTAAGTGCTTGGCGCTCGGCTAGAATGCCACTTGCCACTTGGCTTTTCATTTTTTAGCAAGTGCCTGGCATTCGGCTTATGGTGCCAGCTGCCACTTATCTTGCTTAAGTGTCTGGCGCTCGGCTAGAATGCCACTTGTCACTTGGCTTTTCATTTTTTAGCAAGTGCCTGGCGTTCGACTTATGGTGCCAGCTACCACTTATCTTGCTTAAGTGCCTGGCGCTCGGCTAGAATGCCACTTGCCACTTGGCTTTTCATTTTTTAGCAAGTGCCTGGCGTTTGGCTTATGGTGCCAGCTGCCACTTATCTTCCTTAAGTGCCTGGCGCTCGGCTAGAATGCCACTTGCCACTTGGCTTTTCATTTTTTAGCAAGTGTCTGGCGTTCGACTTATGGTGCCAGCTGCCACTTATCTTGCTTAAGTGCCTGGTGCTCGGCTAGAATGCCACTTGCCACTTGGCTTTTCATTTTTTAGCAAATGCCTGGCGTTCGGCTTATGGTGCCAGCTGCCACTTATCTTGCTTAAGTGCCTGGCGCTCGGCTAGAATGCCACTTGCCACTTGGCTTTTCATTTTTTTTTTTTTAATTTTAGCAACCCATTGAAGAGGAAAGTTATTTTTATAAATTTCAGGAATTTGCACATTCATACGTACTTGATTGACAACAAACAACACCCAATAAAGCCGAAACTTAGCTTTTATTGGTAGTACCTCTTCAGAGACGTGGCATTCCAGGGCTTGCTGACCAACCTTCCCGCCATGGTTTCTAACGTATATGCTCCCTTGCCTATGACTTCTGCAATTCTGTATGGGCCTTCCCAGGGTGGCATCATTTTTTTGACTATCCCCACCTTTCTTTTCAGAACCAGATCGCCAGGGGCAAAATCTCTGTATTTCACTCTTTTGTTGTGACTATTCGCCAATACTTGCTGGTATGATGCTAACCTTATTGTTGCAGCGTCCCTCCTTTCGTCTATCATATCGAGGTTCAATCTTAACATCTTGTCGTTCTGATCTCGACTCCATGCTAAGCTTCTGATAGTTGGGGCCAAGTGCTCAACCGGTATAACTGCCTCGGTACCATATACCATTGTAAACGGGCTCTCCCCAGTCGGCTGCCTTGGGGTGGTTCTGTAAGCCCATAGGACGTTCGGGAGCTCATCCAACCACTTCCCTTTATGGTCCTCCAGCTTCTTCTTAATGCAGGCGAAAATTGTTCTGTTTGTAATTTCTGCTTGTCCATTGGCCTGAGGATGACTTACTGCAGCCAACTTCTAATTAATTCCATACTCCTCCAGCAGCTCTCTTACTTGCTTGCTGTCGAGATTCGTGCCATTATCCATGACTATTGATCTTGGAACGCCGAAACGGCAGATAATATTGTTCCAAATAAATCGTCTCACATGAGTCTGAGTCACGCTAGGATATAGTTCTGCTTCCACCCACTTAGTGAGTAATCCGTGGCCAGTAACACATACTTGTTTTGAGCTCTTGCCGTTGGCAGAGGACCGACCACATCCATCCCCCATTGCGCGAAAGGCCATGGCGAGGCCATTACGTGCAATTCCTCAGGTGGTTGGTGGGTCAATGGTCCATATCGTTGGCATTTATCGCACCTTCGAGAGAACTCCTCCGCATCTCTTGACATGTTCGGCCAGAAATACCCTTGTGTCATTGCCTTATGCGCTAACGATCTTCCCCCAGAATGATTGCCACACACACCTTCATGAATAGCTCGCAATACCTGCTGCGACTCTGCGGGGGTGACACACTTCAAGTATGGGCCAGAATAGGATCTTCTGTACAGCTGGTTATGCATGATGGCATATTTTGCAGCATTCTTTTTGAGTTTCCTAGCTTCGTCCCTGTGCATAGGCAAAACGCCATCTCGAATATAAGTAATGATGGGGTCAATCCAACTCGGTTCATACGGTATGACGTTGACTTGCCAAGGGTCAGAGACCAAAGGTTCTTCGAAAATAGATGGCTGGGTCAATATTCCTATTGGAATCACCCTCGCCAATGTTTCACCGGAGCTCGAAGCACTACATGCTAACCGGTCCGTTTCTGCGTTCTGTTCCCTCGGTAACTATATGAATTCAATCTTTACAAAGTCCTTGGCTTTATGCAGAACGGCAGAACGATATGCCTCCATCACGTCTCCCTTGGTCGCGTACTCACCATTTACCTGCCGAATAATCAACTGTGAGTCACTATAAAAAGTCAAACTTCTGACCTGTAGCTCTCTGGCCAACTTTAACCCATTCAGTAACGCCTCGTATTCCGCTTCATTATTGGTGGCTCGGAACTCAAGTCTGAGTGCTTGACTCAAAGAAGTACCCTCTGGGGTTTGCAGTTTAACCCCAATTCCAGCCCCCATCTGGTTAGAGGAGCCATCCACATAAAGTTTCCAAGAGCCGCACCTGAGGTCTTCTTCCGTATCTTCAGAGTCACATTCTAGCAGGAAATTGGCTACCGCTTGTCCTTTGACAGCTGTTCTCGGCTCATATGTTATGTCAAATAAACTTAACTCTATGGCCCACTTTGTCATTCTGCCCGAGAGTTCTGGCTTGTGCATAAGCACTCTGATTGGAAAAGTTGTTAGAACAGCAATAGGGTGGGATTCGAAATAATGCCTCAACTTTCTTTTTGCGTTTACCAGTGCAAGTATCACCCGTTCGGCCTTCGAGTATTTTCGTTCTGCCTTGGTCATTGTTTTACTGACATAAAATACCGGGTGTTGCACGCCTTCCTTGCAACAAATCAGAACGGCACTTGTCACAACACTAGATACTCCAAGATACAAAAATAACTTTTCTTCTGGATCCGGGGCTGATAGGACTGGTGGATTCTGCATATATTCCTTCAAATGGGTCAATGCTTGTCGTTGCTCATCTCCCCAGACCTGTCTTCCATGACTCCGAATCGTGTCAAAGAACGGCTTGCAGCGGTCTGACAATTTTGAAATGAATCGACTTAATGCAGCTATTCGTCCTGTGAGGGCTTGCACCTCTCTGATCGTATTTGGCTCGGCATTCTTAATCAAAGCCTCTGCTTGAGCGGGGCTAACTTCGATGCCTCTGCGGTTGACCATGTGTCCCAAAAACTGACCGGAACTCACACCGAACGAGCATTTGGTTGGATTGAGCCTCATCCCATATCGCCTCAGCACATCAAATATATCTTGCAGATGTTTCAGATGATCATTCTTCTTCCTACTCTTTACCACCATATCATCAATATAGGCTTCCACAATCTTTCCTATTTGATCCTTGAAAATTTTGCTAACAAGTCTTTGATAAGTTGCTCCCGCGTTCTTTAGTCCGAAAGGCATAACTTTGTAGCAGTATGTCCCTCGCTGGGTTACAAAAGAAGTTTTTTCTTCATCTGCTGGGTCCATAGGGATCTGATTATAACCTGAATAAGCGTCCAGAAAGGTTAAGCGTTCATACCCGGTGGTAGCATCCACCATTTGGTCAATCTTTGGCAGCGGGAAGCTATCCTTCGGACAGGCTTTGTTCAAATTGGTGAAATCAATGCATACTCGCCATTTCCCATTCTTCTTCTGCACGACAACGACGTTGGACAACCAATCAGGGTAGTGTACTTCTCTGATAAATCCCGCATCAAGCAGCCTATCAACTTCCTCGGCTATGATTTGGTTGCGTTCTGGAGCAAATCTTCGTTGCTTCTGTTTTACTGGTTTGAAGTTGGGATTGACATTCAAGGAATGACAGGATACGGAGGGATTAATTCCAGGCATGTCTAGGTGACTCCATGCAAATACATCGGCATTGTGAAACAATAAGTCAGCTAGCTCTTGCCGCTCTTCCCTGGTCAGTCTTATTCCTACTCTGGTAGTTCGTTCTGGCCTGGACTGATCGATCTGCACATCCAAAAGGGGCTCTTCGGTCAAGTCAACTGACTCCTCCACCCTGTTCTGCTTGGGCGGAGGTTCCTATAATTGCTATCTGGGGCTTGCCGGTCGGATGGGCGCCTTCCCTTTCCCAGCATACTTTAGTGTGACAGAATAGCACTCTTTGGCTGCAACCTGATCCCCACGAATGTCTATCACCTTATTTCCATCGGGTCCGAGGCACCTCATGACCTGATGCAAAGTTGAGGGTACTCCTTGGACTCTGTGAATCCATCCTCTTCCCATCAGGAGATTGTACGATGGGTGAATCTCTACAACCACAAAAGTTTCCATAAGAGCTCGTTCTGCAGCTTGAACTTCTACTTCCACCATTCCGACGGGCTCCACCCTCTTGCCATCGAATCCTAACAAGGGATTTCCAGTGGGCTTGAGCCTCTCTGGTTTAATCTCGAGCCGATCAAATGTGTCCCTCGGCATGACATTCGCACTGCTCCCGGGATCGATCAGAACTCTGCGCACCAGGCAGTCCGCCACTGTCAAACTGACTACCAACGGGTCTTCATGGGGGATTTGAACAAGCTGCAGGTCTGTCCTGTCAAACTTTATCTGTATCGATGTGATCTGTTGGTGTA